GACTCGACGGCACATAACAACAACAACAACAACAACAACAGCCCTGTACTTCAAGATAGATCTTGAAAAGTTCTTTTTAATGATGAATGTGATGTCATTTCTATTCATTTGTCATCCCAGAATAGTAGACCATATGATTGTCTAATTCAAAATGGCCAACACCAGTCCTTTTAACCTTTTTTTTTGAAAGAAAAATACATCTTTTATTTACTAAAATACAATGGCTGTTTCCAAATGATTTCTGGAAAAAAGCCCTATGGAGGAGAGATGGTTTGTTTCCCAGGAATTTTGTGGAATTGTGAGTATCTTTCATCTCTGGTGACACTGCAGTTCACCCTAAAAAGAAAAATCTCTTTCTGCTGTATGCTACTTCTGGCTGTTTCTCCAAAGTAACAAAATTGTATGTAACAAAATTATATGTTACTTCCCTGACCATAAGTGTTTGTGATGTGTTAACATATTTTCCAACAACTTCATGTGCTGCTTTTAAAATAACCTAATTCAAACCTTGTAGACAAAAGGAAAACATTTCCTGCATTTTATCTAACATTTTTATAGTAAACATTTCCCTATGTCATTAAAAATTATTTTAAAACATTTTAATGGCTAACAAGAAATCTTAGTGATTTGATATTCCTTAATTATTCATTTCCCTAATATTTAACATTATAATGAACATCTGGAATATAAACCTTCATCTGCATTTCTGATTATTTCCTTAGGATAAATATTTCTATTTCATGGGACTAGTAATTTGGGGACTTGAAGCAGACCTGAGGAACTAGAGGCTAGTGAAAGGGAATAGTTGACTAATGAAGTCAGCACTGTGAGAGTCAAAGAAAGCTTGTTTTATTTCATAACAAATTATAATGTCAGGGCCAAAATTCTACCATCTTGAAAGAAAACAGTACTTGAGGTAGCCTCCTACCATCCATTCCCTTTTCTCATAGCATCTCAATCTCCTTTTGGAGAATGACACCTTCCACACTGGATATTGTCTGATATATTTTTACTAGCTGATGGGATGTTCTCTCCTCCCCTATATAAGGGATGGGCATGTGACTCAAGCTAGGCAAGATGGATGCTCCCTTACTGAAATTTTAGTCATGAACAAAATCACAAGATGACTGACAACAGAATTCATTCATTTTCATCAGCACCTTCCTAAGTTGATTGATTCCTGCCAAGAAAGATTTCTGCTTCCTGTACCTCCAGAGATACTTGTTTTCTATGTTTCCAAGCCTGACTCTCCAGTCTTCCTATTGAGTCTGTGAGCTCATTTCCTTTCAATAAATTTCTTGTCTCTTAATTTAGCTAGGTCTGTTGCTTAGATTCAAAGTACTCACCCTAACTAATACATAACTTATAGATTACCAATATCTCTACTGAGAATTACTTTTACAGAATTTTTTCCCCAGTGATAGATAGTGGCAAGTTGTATAAGCTGAAAGATAAGAAGAATAGCTTTGTAATTTGCCAAAGGCCAGGCCTAATCATATTATGTTGTTATTGTTAGCTGCTGTGGAGTTGCCTTGACTCATCGTCACACTGACTCATGATGACCCCATGCACAATGGAACAAAACGTTGCCTGGTTCTGTGCCATCTTCATGATTAATTACTGTTGGGACCACTGTGATCTATAGGGTTTTACCTGCTGATTTTCAGAAGTAGAGCAGCACATCATTCTTTCTAGTTCATCTTAGTCTGGAAGCTGGGGTAAAAACCTATTCAGCATCATAAAAGCACGGAAGACTCCACTGACAGATGGGAGATGGCTGCTCATGAGGGGCACAGGGCACCAATGAAGAGTTATGAGAAACTTCTATTTCAACTCTACTGACACTTTCCCTCTAAAATGCATTTTAAAAATTATTTATTTACACATATCAGAATGACAACTGTATGAAAATAGAAGATGTTCATCAAGTGAGGAATGGATAAATTAAATGCGGTATTATTCATGCAATGGAATATTATTTAGCAAATAAAAATAAATGAAATACTGATGCTGCTACAAGAAGTATGAACCTTGAAAACATTACACTAAATGACAGAAAGCAGTCACAAAGAGTACATGTTGTATGATTCCATTTATCTGAAATGTCCACAATTGGCAAATATATAGAGATACAGAAAGTAGATTTATGATAATGTAGGGCTCGGGGTCAGGAGAGATTAAGAGATGTCAGCTAAGGGACATGGAGTTTCTTTTAAGGGTAATGAAGATGTTCTAAAATTGATTATGGTGATAGTTGTACAACTGTGGGATTATACTAAGTCACTGTAATTGTATACTTTAAAAATAAAATACAATGCACTTATACACCATCCTGGCATTACTTGTGTTGTTGTTGTTATGTGTCGTGGAGTTGGACCCGACTCATAGCGACCTCTCCTTGGGTTTCTGAGGCGGTATCACTACGGAAGTAGACTGCCCAACCTTCCTTCCAAGGAGTGGCTGGTGGCTTTGAACTGCCAGAAGGCATTGCTAATATTTTTTAATATAAAGTAAATGGTATCCCTTGAATAGGAGTGCTGGTGGCATAGCACCTAAGGCATTTGACTGCTAACCAGAAGGGTGGTGGTTCAAACCTACCAGCCACTCCTCAGAAGGAAGGTTGGGCAATCTGCTTCTGTAGTTATACTGCCTCAGAAACCCAAGGAGGGGCTAATATGAGTCAGATCCAACTCGACGGCAGTGCGTTGTGTTGTTGTTGTTTGTTATCCCTTGAATAGTACTTAGCAATAACCCAGAATCATTATTCTGAATGCCAATTCTTATTGTACAGTATCATAAAGATAATATGATAATAGACAGAACCTATACCAAGTCAAAAGATGTATCTTAGAAGCCTTGTTGTTTTTTTCCTTGTTTTCTTTAGACTTCTAATATTGCTAATATGACATTGTTTTGCTATTGATTTTTGAACTGAGTATTGAACTATTCAGATCACATAAAAATTTGAAATATACTGGTAGATCATGATCTTCTAGTTTAATTAGTCTTTTCTTTTCTTGATGAACTCACCAATTTCTCCTTCTCCTCTTGGGCTTTTTCCTGTGTTTCAATCAATTGCTGTTTCAGTTTTTCAATCTGTAGAAGATGGAAATAGAGAGTCAGGAAGGTAAAGTAATTGCTCTGTATCCTACCTCTTATCAAGTAACCTAGTTTTCACATGGTATTCAAACCACCAGGGTTGGAGAGATGGAGTGAGGTGAGGTGGGAAGAAAAGAGGGGACAGGAACTTCCCCATGCCCTTAACCTGTGATTGCCAGTTTCTAAAATGTAGTTATCATCAGAATTACCTGAATAACTTTTTTTAAAGAAAGGCAGATGAGAGTTAGGAAATACAAATGACACTAATAAATACAGATCAATACCATTTAGTTGATGTAAATAAAAAAAATATGCAGGCCACAAGGCTTCTATCTCATAAATTTTGAAAATAATTTATATAACTGGCCTAAAATCTTACTTAAGAACAAGTAATGCCTACTATTCAAAGAAGCAGCCCTGGTGGCACAATGGTTAAGCACTTAGCTGCTAACCGAAAGGTTGGCCATTCGGACACACAGGAGCTCTGCGGGAGAAAAGACCTGGTGACCTGCTCCCATAAAGATTGTTGGTAGGTGCCATCGAGTCATATGTACAGCAAAATGGTCTTTTGCCATAAGATTACAGTCTAGGAAAACCTATGGGGCAGTTTTACTCTGCCCATTAGGGTCACCATGAGTTAGAATTGACTCAATGGCACACAACAACAACTACTGAAAGAGTAATTTACAAAATGGGTAACTGTCTGAAAAAAAGAGGTAAAAAATAAGTATGCACAAAAATGTATACTTTAACTATGGCCCTTATACATCATTCAAGGCTGGAAATGCACTTACCCTTAAGGTTCAACTTAAAGCCAAACAATAGACAGGACTGAAAAGTAAACAACATACCAGGGAGACACACACTCATTAGAAAAATCAACCATATGAGATCAAAAGAGCAGCATTGGCCCAGGGATAAAGCCAAGAAGGTAGGAAGGGATAGGAAAGAAAGATGAAGGGAAATTACTTCCACAGGGAGGAAGTGGGAAGTGTGCTGTTACATTGTGGGGATTGCAATGAATGTCACATAACAAAATGTGTATGAATTGTTAAATGGAAAACCAATTTGCTCTGTAAATTTCACCCAAATCACAATTTAAAAAAAATAATACTTTATCTAAAAAAATAAAATTTACACAACTGTTCAGTTGTTTTATTTCTCTAATTTAATTCAATACCATCTAAAACTTAGTTTTGATTCCTGTTAACTTTTTTCAAGCATCAGTGCATTCACTCACAAGCAATTCATTCATTCATGATTAAAAAAAAAGAAATGAGTACGCACTATGCAGGGATATATTACTGAAGGAAAAAAGGCACAGAATTCTTGACTCTGGTGAGTTTTCACTACAAAAGAGACAATAAACAAATATGAAATAAAATGCATATAGTATGACAGTAGATAAAGAGTGTTACAGAGAAAATAAGCAAGATTAAAGAGTGCTGACATGGGAGTGGTTTAAATTTTAAACAGGGTAGTGAAAAGAGGTCTTACTGAAAAGGTTGCTTACTGAAAAATTTGAAAAAATATATGTAATGATTCATGAATTTGCATGTCATTCTTATGCAGAAATCATTACTTCAATATTTGTTCATACATGTAGTGAAGCAAACACATGAATAAACAATAAAAATGGGTGGAGGAACATATAAAATATGCTGAAGCCACCAGTAATCAGGAAATACAAATTTTAAAAATGAGACAACAATTACAACTATGTTGTTGTTGTTGTTATGTGCCGTCGAATCGGACCTGACTCATAGCGACCCCTCCTTGGGTTTCTGAGGCAGTATCACTATGGAAGTAGATTGCCCAACCTTCTTTCCGAGGAGTGGCTGGTAGGTTTGAACCGCCAGCCTTCTGGTTAGCAGTCCAGTGCCTTAGGCATTATGCTACCAGAGCTCCCAACTACAACCATAAGTTGCCTCAAACTAGTAAGTATAATAATATTAAGTGGTGACAAAAATGTGAACCCTACTACATCACTGTGATAGTATAAATAGGCATAACCTCTTTGGATTCAATTTAAAACCTAATGAAGTTGAAGCTATGCATATCTCATAACAGCAATTTCACCTCTAGATGTCTACTCTGGACAGCTCTCACACCTGTAAAGTAGACATACTCAAGAATGTTCCCTGAAGGTCTGTCTATATTAATGAACAAATGGAGTCTGAATGACCCACCAGATGATCTGCAGAAGAAAGATGAGGCAGTCTGCTTCCATAAAGATTTACAACCTTGGAAACTCAATTGAGGTTGCTATGAGTCAGAATCAACTCAATGGCGGTAAGTTTGGTTTTTTTGGATTTTAAATGGCCCACAGGGGAGTAAGGATAAATAAACTTCAGTTTATAGTGAGTTTATATTGATGGTGGTAGACTGATTTGGTTGTTCAACTTAAAAAAATGCAATCAGTGTCACTGAACTGTACAGGAAGAAATTAAAAAATAAACTTTATTTGATGCAATAAAAGCAGCTAAAAATAAAAAAGATGTTTGTTATCACTTTTTTCATTATAATTTTTTTTAATGAACCAAATCATCATGTGATTTTTGTGAATATATCACAGAAATATAATGTTAATTAAAAAAGCAATTTGTAAAAGATACGTACAATATGACACTATCTATATCGTTAGTTTTGTTATGTGCTGTTGAGTCACCTCCGACTCATAGCAACCCTATGCACCAGAGAATGAAACACTGCCTGGTCCTGTGCCAGCCTCGGTATCCTTGCTATATCTGAGCCCATTGCTGCAGCCACTGTGTCAATCCACTTGGTTGAAGGCCTTCCCCTTTTTCGTCGACCCTCCACTTTACCAAGCATGATGCCCTTCTCCAAGGAATAGTCCTTCTGACAACATGGCCAAAGTAGATGAGACAAAGTCTGGCCAATCTCACTTCCAAGGAGCATTCCAGCTGCACTTATTCCAGGACAGATTTGTTAGTTCTTTTAGCAGTCCATGGTACTGTCAGTATTCTTCCCAAATACCACAATACAAAAGCATCAACCCTTCTTCAGTCTTCCTTATTAATTGTCTGGCTCTCACATACATATGAGGTGATTGAAAATACTATGACTTGGGTTAGCTGCACTTTAGTCTTCAAGGAGACATCTTTATTCTTCAGCACTCAAAAGAGGTCTTTTGCAGCAGACATGCCCAATGCAATAAGTCCTCTGTGATGTCTTGATTGCTTCTTTGATTGGTGTTGATTGTAGAAGGAAGTAATATGACGTCTCTGACAACTTCAATCTTTTCTGCATTCATCGTGATGCTGCTTATTGGTCCAGTTGTGAATATTTTTGTTTTCTTTACATTGAGGCGTAATCCATACTGCAGACTGTAGTCTTTAATTTTCATCAGTAAGTGCTTCAAGTCATCTGCACTTTCAGCAAGTAAAGCTGTGCCATCTGCATATCATAGGTTGTAAATGAGTCTTCCTCCAATCCCGATGCCACGTTCTTCTTCATATAGTCCAGCTTCTCGGATTATTTGCTCAGCATACAGATTGAATGAGTATGGTGAAAGGATACAACCTTGATGCACTCCCTTCCTGATTTTAAACCATGCAGTATCCCATTGTTCTGTTCAAACTACAGCCTCCTGGTCTATGTACAGGTTCCTTGTGAGTACAATTAAGTGTTCTGGAATTCCCATTCTTCTCAATGTTACCCATAATTTGTTATGATCCACGCAATCAAATGATTTTGCATAGTCAGTAAAACACAAGTAAACATCTTTCTGATATCCATTCCTTTCAGCCAGGATCCATCTGACATCAGTAACAGTATCCCTCATTCCATGTCCTCTTCTGAATCCAGCTTGCATTTCTGGAAGTTCTCTGTCAATATACTGCTGCAACCATTTTTGAATTATCTTCAGTAAGATTTTACTTGGATGTGATATTTATAATATTGTCCAATAGTTTCCACAATCCGTGGGATCACCATTCTTTGGAATAGGTATAAATATGGATCTCTTCCAATCAGTTGGCCAGGTAGCTGTCTTCCAAATCTCTTTGCATAGCCAAGTGAGTGGACTTGTTTTAATTGTCTTCAGCTTCTATTTGAACTTGCATATAAGCACATAAACTTGCATAGGGAGCTCTGGTAGCATAGTGGCTAAGGCACTTAAATGCTAACCAGAAGGCTGACAGTTCAAACCCACCAGCCACTCCTCAGAAGATAGGTTGGGCAATCTACTTCCGTAGTGATACTGTCTCGAAACCCAAGGAGGGGTCGTTATGAGTCGGGTCCTACTTGATGGCACATAACAACAACATAAGCAGTTGATGGTCTGTTCCACAATCAACTCCTGGCCTTGTTTGGCTGAAGATATTGAGCTTCTCCGTTGCCTCTTGCCACAGATGTAGTCAATCTGATTCCTGTATACTCCATCTGGTGAAGTACATGTGTATAGCCATTTGTGTTGTTGAAGAAAGGTATTTTCAATGAATAAGTTGTTGGTCTTGCAAAATTCTAGCATGTGATCTCCAATGTTATTTCTATCACCAAGGCCATATTTTCCAACTACCAGTGTCTCTTCTTTGTTACCAACTTTTGCATTCCAATCACCAGTGACAATCAATACCTCTTGATTGCATGTTCAGTCAATTTCAGACTGCAGAAGTTGGTAAAAATCTTCAATTTCCTCATCTTTGTCTTTGGTGGTTGGTGTATAATTTTGAATAATAGTAGTATTAACTGGTCTTCCTTGTAGTGTGTATGGATATTATCCTATCACTGACAGCATTATACTTCAAGATAGATCTGGAAACATTCTTTGTGATGATGAAACTCATGCCATTCTTCTTCAATTTGTCATTCCCAGCATAGTAGATCATACAGTTGTCTGATTCAGAATGGCTAAAACCAGTCCATTTCAGCACACTGATGCCTAGGATATCGATCTTTATGTGTTCCATTTCATTTTTGACAACTTCCAATTTTCCTAGATTCATACTTCATAGATTCCATGTTCCAATTATTAATGAATGTTTGCAGCTATTTCTTCTCATTTTGAGATGTGCCACATCAGCAAATGGAAGTGCCAAAAGCTTTACTCTATCCACTTCATTAAGGTTGGCTCTACCTTGAGGAGGCAGCTCTTCCCTAGTTATGTCTTGAGTGCCCTCTGACCTAAGGGGCTCATCTGGCACTGTATTGGACAATGCTGCACAGCTATTAAAAAAGTTTTCCAGTAATATATCAGACAGTGTTTCACTGCTATTCATAAGGTTTTCACTGGCCAATTCTTTGCGAAGTGGATGGCCTCTTCCTTCTTCTGAGTCTGTCTTAGTCTGGAAGTTCTGCTGAAAACCTGTCCACCATAGTAACCCTGCTGGCATTTGAAACACCAGTGGCATAGCCTTCAGCCTCACAGCAACATGCAGACCACCACAGTAGGACAAACTGACAAGTTTGTCTTCCTTTGTTGTTGTTCCAAACCGCTCTGCTCACTTTTTTGTCTCCCTCAGCTGCTCTGAGTCGCCGCCTGCCCCACTTCCTGGTCTGCCTCCTCCCTCAGGCTGCTCTGAACCACATCCTGCCACCCCTGGCCAGCTTCCTGGTCTGTCTTCATCTATATAAATTTCAAAACAAGACTATAGTGTGTATTGTTTATGGATACATACTTTAAAGTAGGAAAAGATACATAGGAAGGATACACACCATTCTCAGAATGGGAGAAATTTCTCTGGGTCTCCACAGGCCTCCAGAGGCAGATTGGAAAGAGAAGAATTGAAGAGTTACACTTGAGTGCCACTTTACTACCCACTAACTGTGACTTTATGCAAATTACCTATCCTTTCTGAGAGTCAGTTTTGTTATCTATAAAATGAGGACAACAACCTTGAAAACATCATCCTGAGAGAAATGTCAGTCACAAAAGGACAAATACTGTGTGATCTCATGTATTGAAATAAGCAAGTATGTAGAAACCAAAGTCTATTAGTGGATGGAAGAGAGGGCAGAAGGAGGAGCCTTTGCTTAGGGGGCACTGAGTTTATGTTAATGGTGGTGGAATGATTTGTTTGTATAACTCACAGAATGTATTCAGAATCACTGAATTGTACATGTAGAAATTCTTGAGTTGGTTTATCTTTTGTTATGCATATTTTCATCATGATAAAAAAAATGGTAACAATACCGTAGCTACGTTAGGTTACTAAAAAAATTAAATGAAATAGCAGAGGTAAATCACCTAGCACAATGCCTGGAACTCTTAGTTCCTTTCCCTTTTTCATTCAGATCTAAAATGATAACTTCTTTTTCTCTTTATTTTTTTAATACTTTATTGAGCTTTAGGTGAAAGTTCACACTGAAAATTAGTTTTCCAATCAATAACTCATACATACATTGTTGTGACACTGGTTGCAATCCCTGCAATGTGTCAGTACTCTCCCCTTTTGCCTCCTTGGGTTTCCCAGATAACTTTATTCTTAACACTTAAATGTAATACAATAAATTTAAGATTCAACTAGCCAAAAAAAGAAAGTCAACTTACTGGGTTCATAATATGATCATGGGTTAACAATGAAGTGCTTTACAAATCACTAAAACAGAGTATTTATCAATAACATATAATATATAGGTCATAGACCATGGTTTTGCCCTTAAAATAAAGTGGATCATAATGTTCCTTTTGTTCAGCAATCTCTGTTTCAGACAAGAAAACATGAGTCAAACACTGAAAATAAGATAGAGCCAGTATCAGTAAAGCCATTCTGAAACAGCATTCCACTTAGGGAAAGTTAAAGTCAACTGAAATGTCTTAACTCTATGATGAGATTTCAAAGATTTGAAATATACCAGTATAACCACAGAGGTAGTTACTGAGATGCAGGAGGCTCTCTACCCACATACCATATTATCTTTCTCCTGATCCTGTTTCTTCAGGTAGTTTAATACAGACATTGTGTCTCTCTCCATTTTATACTGCTGCTTCTTTAAGTCCTCATTGCATTTTGCCAATCTCTGGGAAGTATCACGATACTCAATCCTGGACAGTTCTGTGACTTCCAACCTGGCCTCCCAAAGGGAGGCATTGGCCTTGGCTCTGTCCATCACAAATTCATCTGGTTTTATTGCCTTCCTACATGGGAAAAGGACATTCACAGTACATAACTATTTCTTTATTACAGTAGTATTACATCTCTCTGTTTTGTTTGGCATTGTAGTACACATTACCTGGCAAATATTGTTGAATGAATGAGTTACTAAGAAATACATATATATGAATTGATGTAAGTTCTGCTATGTGTATTTAAAAAAAAAAACACATATATATATAAAACACACACACACACATATATATATACAGACACATATATAACATATTTACTTGTATGCACATAAAGGAGTTAAGTAAATGCCTCTTCCTGGGAGAGGGGTTTTGGAGCATAACCCCAAAGGACTACAAAACAAAGAAGGAATGGTAAATCAAATTCATTTCACAGAACTTTCACATCTTTTCATTTACTTCTTTGATTCTCCCATATTTGAACTGTTTTTTCTATTCCTACTTATTCCTAGACCTTGGTTCTCTCCACCACCTCCATTACCTTCTACGCCTTTTCTGCATGAGGATACATTCATAGTGTAACTGAAAGTCCCTATTTCTGTAATCTCCCACCCACCACTTTTATTTTTTATTTGTTTGGGGTGGTGGTATTTTGGCTAAGCCTTAGACAAGAAATCAAGTCACTAAGGAACGCATATTAAATACTTTGCGGGCTGGTACCACAAGGCACAAAGCTTTAAGGATGGTTGAAAAACATACCATAGTCGTGTATATGTGTGTAAGGATGGATTCAAATATTAAATAGATAAAAATGGAGATATTTCAGAATAAGGATTTATTGAATAAGCATTCCTTATATATGTTTTTTTTAAAAAAGACCTCATTGCTATCTAGTCAATTTGACTCATAGCGACCCTTGGGTTTCCGAGGCATTATCTCTATGGAAGTAGATTGTCTAATCTATCTGAGAAGTGCCTGGTAGGTTTGAATTACCAGCCTTCTGGTTAGCAGTCAAATGCTTTAGGCACTACACCACCAGATCTCCAGATAATAAATATTTTAAAGACTTCTGTGTTTGAAATCTAAATATTCTCACACATATGTATACCTTTCTATATTGTCAACCTGTCCACTCAATTGGTTCTTTTTCAATTTCTTTCTAGTTGCATTCTCACCTTGTTTCCTTCAAATTAAGGCCAACCACACCCCCATACCTCCAAGCCTGTCATAGCTGTGACCTCGCTTTCCAGCAAGACTTAGGCACTAGTGATGGACTGCCTTGCTACAATCATCCAACTGCTCCCTAATGGTATCAGGACTAAGCTGCTCAGAGTAGCTGATGCAATAAATCAGATACCCTTAATAGCAGGACCACTAATACTGCCTGTAGACAGAAAGCCAAAAAAAAAAACTAATCCAAACCCACTCATCTGACCCAATGAGTCAAATCTGACTCATAGCAATCCCCACAGGGTTTCCAAGTCTGTAAATCTTTACGGAAGTAGACTGCCTCATCCTTTTCCCACAGAGCAGCTGGTGGGTTCTGGTGGTGTAGTGCCTAAAGCATTGGACTGCCAACCAGAAGGCTGGTGGTTCAAACCCACAAGCCACTCCTCGGAAGGTTGGGCAATCTACTTCCATAGTGATACTGCTTCGGAAACCCAAGGAAGGGTCACTATGAGTCAGATCCGACTCCATGGCAGTGTGTTGCATTGCATTTAGCTGGTGGGTCCAAACCACCAACCTTTTGGTTAGCAGCACAATGCCTTAACCACAGCACCACTGGAGCTCCTTAGACAAAACAGGGCTTCTCAAACTATGGGCCATGGAAAATCTGATGAATAAGAGTTCTGTTACCTCTGTGTTCCTCAGTCTGTAGAAGACAAATGGCCAAAAATAGAAAACATATGCTAGTGAGCTCCAGGAATGAGATAAACTTGGCACTTTTAAAAAGTGCTGGACTAACTATGCAGTTGGGAGCTCTGGTAGCGTAGTGCCTAAGGCACTTGACAGCAAACCAGAAGGCTGGCGGTTTAAACCCACCAGCCACTCTTCGGGAAAAAGGTTGGGCAATCTACTTCCGTAATGATACTGCCTCAGAAACCCAAGGAGGGGTCGCTATGAGTTGGGTCTGACTCAACGGCACATAACAACAACAACAACGCAGTTATGTGAAAAATCTTACTGTAGAAGAATACTTTTATCAATACACTGGGGGAAAAGCTGTAAGAAAATATATATGGTATGCTATCATTTTATAAAGAAAAGTAAGTACCCCAAAATGATAATAGTGGTTATCTCTGGATGACAGGATTACAGGGATTTTTTAAAATTTCTCCTTTGGGATTCCATGTTTCCAGAAGGTCAGTGGTTCAAGCCCACCAGCTGTTCTGCAGAAGGAAGATGGGGTGATCTACTTCTGTAAAGATTTACAGCTTTGGCAATCCAGTGGGGGTGGCTATGAGTCAGACTCGACTTGATGGCAGTGAATTTGGTTTTTTATTTTACTCTTTTAAACAAATTATAAGAATTACAAGTTGTGGGGATTTCCTGTGGTCTCATATATGGTGCTGCTGAACTCCAGGTATAACTCCACTGAATTTAGGAACCACTAGGGTCATCCAACAGGGCTAGTGGCAACCTGTTGTTGTTGTTGTTGTTATGTGCCGTCCAGTCAGACCAGACTCATAGAGACCCCTCCTTGGGTTTCCAAGGCAGTATCACTACGGAAGTAGATTGCCCCATCTTCCTTCCGAGGAGTGGCTGGTGGGTTTGAACCGCCAGACTTCTGGTTAGCAGTCAAGTGCCTTAGGCACTACGCTACCAGAGCTCCCAGTGGCAACCTAGCATACTCAATTCCAAGCCAGCTAGGGATTGGTGCTAAACCCTCACTTCAAGGGTTCTTCTGATCAGTTTTGGGAAACCTGAACAATTACCCAATTTGGGCAAATCCTTTAGGTCTCTCCTTGAACTAATACGGATCCCTGAAAAAGCTCAAGGAACTACTTCAACTACCCAGAGGTCCTTTAGATGTTCAAGATCATCTCAAACTCATGGCAGAGATCTTTCAGGCTAGGTAGGACAAGAGCTAATGAACCCAGACCACAGTCTCTGTGGAGGAAAGAAAAGATCCAAGTTGAGGTATAGACACAAGACACTCTGTTTATTCTTCAAACAATAAGCACCTGCTATATTCTGGACTCTTTTCAAGGTTCTGGAGACACCGTGAATAAAGTTTAATGCCTATTCTGAAAAAGCTTATAGTCTAGGGCAAAGTTTCTCAACCCTGGCACTACTGACATTCTAAGCCAGATAATTCTTTGGGGGAGGGTCTCTGTGCATTTTAGGATGTTTAACAGCATCCTTGGTCTCTATACACTAGATGCCAGTAGCACACACCTCCAGACACGGTAACTAAAAATGCCTCCAAAAACCAAAAAAACCAAACCCACTGCGGTTGAGTTTAATCCAACTCATAGCGATGACTCCTTGCGTTTTCAAGGAGGTACCACTACTCAAGTAGATTGCCCAATTGCCCTTCCAAGGAGTGGCTGGTGGGTTTGAACCTCCAGCCTTCTGGTTAGCAGTCAAATGCCTTAGGCACTCTGTTACTTCATTGCCAAATATCCCCTGGGGGCTAAAATCGCCCAATTGAGAACTACAGGTCTAGAGGAGTGCCGTCCAATAGAATGTTCTGTGATGTTAGAAATGTTTTATATCTGCACTGCCTAACACAGTCGCCACTAGTCACTTCAAAGAAAGTCGGTACAACTGAGGAACTATATTTTTAATTTTAATTAACAGCCACCGACGACGGCGCTGCCTACTCTACTGGACAGTGCCGGTCTAGAGAACCTCCAATATCCCAAGAACTGTTATCCTGATCTTCACTTGTAGTGTCAGAATTAGCCCACCCTCCTCACTCCCAGATCTCTGTTCCCCTACTTTTGTTGTTAGGTGCCGTTGAGTTGGCTCTGACTCATACCGACCCTACATACAACAGAACTAAACACTGCCCGGGTCTTGCTATGCTTGAGCCATCCTCCACTGTTGTTGTTGTTGTTATGTGCCGTCGAGTCGGCCCCGACTCATAGCGACCCCTCCTTGGGTTTCCCAGGCAGTATCACTACGGAAGTAGGATTGCCCAACCTTCCTTCCGAGCAGTGGCTGGTGGGTTTGAACCGCCAGCCTTCTGGTTAGCAGTCAAGTGCTTTAGCCACTATGCTGCCAGAGCTCCAACTAGCACTGTTGTTGTTGTTGTTTGCCATCCAGTCGGACGCGACTCATAGTGACCCCTCCTTGGGTTTCCGAGGCAGTATCACTACGGAAGTAGATTGCCCCATCTTCCTTCCGAGGAGTGGCTGGTGGGTTTGAACCGCCAGCCTTCTGGTTAGCAGTCAAGTGTCTTAGCCACTATGCTACCAGAGCTAGGCTCTATTATTTCATTCCGTCCTTATTTGCTTCCACCCTTAGTGCATTACACACAGGGCTGTGTCTAAACTACCTCAAGGCCCCAAATCTCTCACTCGACTGTTCCAGCTGACAGCAAAACGATTTGGCAGGTTATTTGGGGAATTTCTGAACAATGGGAACCGTCCTCCTCAAAGACTGGGTGAGTTAGAGGCGGGCCCAAAAGGGCCGGCATAAAGGCATCAGTTAGCCAGCCCCCGCCTCCCGACGCCCTGCCGCGTTCCGCTTGGCCCTCGGTGCGAGTTCCTGGAGGATGGGCCTAGTAAAAGAGTCCCCCATGGCGTCTTGTGCTTACTTGTCTTTGCTTTTTCCCTTGCCTTTTCTTTTTTTCCCCTTCGAGGGCATTTTGGCTCCTCCAGGGGCTCCACTGTACCCGCTCCGCCTACGCCTAGGCCCGCCTCGGTCTCTAAGGAAACCAGAACGCCAAGGGGGTTTTGTTCCTGCCTGAGCGGTTGTCAGCGAGGGGAGGACGCACGCGCCCGTGACGTGGCTCCGACTACGCCGCGCTGCTCAGACTCCTCAGGGGGAGGGGATGGGGGCGAGGGCCGAGATCGCGCCGAGGGCGGCGGGCGGCCGCGCCGGGGCGGCGCGAGTGCGGTGAGTGAGAAAGAGAGAGAGAGCGGCTGAGGCGCCCTGAAGCTGCCCCAGGCCGGGGCTGAGCTGGCGGCCCGACGGGCCGAGGACGGTCGGGCCGAGAGGCAGGAGCCGACCGTCCCTGGCAGTGGCGACAGCAATGCGGTTTCCTGCAGACAGGGCGTATCGGGCGTCGGGACAGTCAGGGCTCCCTCACCTCAGGGACGCTTGGCTCCAGACCGTCTGCTCACCCTGCTGCGGTTGTTGGAGCCCCAGCACCCCATCGGTTTTGCAGCGTTTCGCGTCTGTGATAAAAGCGTCCCGTAATTCCCTCCGCGCGGCAGCCAGCTTGACCGCACTGCCTTTGCTCTGCCTCAGCAGCTCTCGGCGGGTACTCCCCCGATTCTTGGTTTTCTTTTTCCTTCCCTTGCTTCCAACTCTTGCTGATTTTATAAGGGCCGACGAATCCAGCAGACTTCCCAACAACAACAACCAAAATATTTCTCTTTCATGAGGCAGTTGAGGAATTTTTTCTGAGAGTGGTGGTTGTTGGTGAGGCTTTCAGACTTCCAAGTGCAGAGTGCACCAACGTACAGAAGCCAGAGCTCCCACGGTCCGGGAGCCGTCCGGAGTGAGACAAGCTGTGGAGGCAGGTTTTCGACCCCATTCTGTCCTGTGTGACTGACGCTGCCCGCTCAGGACCTACCTGCCCGGGGTTTTCATTTGTTAATGACTCAGGCGTGCTCAGCACCTTTTTCTGCAAGTTGTGTAAAGTTGAAAGCTCTTGCCTTGTTTTGCTTGAGCACACCTTTGAAAAGGAGTGTACTCAGAAATACTGCTATCATTTTGCAGTGGAGGAGGGATTATGCTTTCATTCAGTGAGACTCTGAGTCATTAAGGTATTCTGGCTGCCAACTTCATAGAATGGTTACGAGACCTGTGGTTGAAGCTTCAGTGCTGTATTACCCATCATTTCAAAATAAATTTGAAATTCCCTTCAAATTTCATTATTTCTCTGAGGGAGAACTAACTCTACAGATCTTATAGAGCACCTCGACTAGTGCTGCTCTCCCACATCCTTTTTGTCCCTCTTAGATTTTCTGCTTCTGAGTCCTGTGGTTAGAGGAATCATGCAGATTTGTTAATGAGCCCTAAAAATTACCTCTTAGCCGGTACTGTCTGCTGATCGTGGCTTTTTCGAGTGTATTTCTATTTGTATGTCACATTCCTTTGGCTCCATGAATAAAATCACCGTACACTGAAGGAGTGACTTATGATACAGAATCTATAAAGTTATGGTTAATTTCGTTTTTCTAAAATCCTGGAAATGCACCCCATTTAACTTGGAGAAAGAGATTAAGGCATCTTCCACCACGCTATATATTTGTATGTATGTATTTTTATATATTTCTTCTACCAAACTATATATTTGAAATTCATTCTAAAATTTGTTTACGGTACTTTATAATATGAAAAGTAAGCCCAAGACTCAAAATTTGAACATAGGCCTACAGACTTATCTATAAACATAAAATTTTGACTAACAAGATTATTTCTTAGTGGTTGCATGTATTTTGTAGTTTTATTATATTACACAACACGTCTTTATTGACTAAACTTGATTTTGTAAATAAAACTACCATGGCATGAATATGGCTGAGAGAAATGCCCAGCATCATACTGTGGTGGAGGTGGTTCTAGAATCTGTGGTGTTGGTAATCTATGTTCTCTACCAAAGAACTGAATGTCATTGTTCCATCATCTGTCCATGAGAAGCAACTGGTGGTACAGAGTAGGAAGTTGCTGTTTAGCAATTCATCTGGTAGCATTTCCTTCCATAATTTCTGATAGCTATACTATGAAGTTGCAGAGATTATACAACTGAATAAATTTGTTTTGTTTCATTGCTTAGTGCACTAATGATTTTAAAACTTGCCAGAATAAGCCACTTAGTGTTCTGTTGACTTGGCTCTGTAATTCTTTTTCTGCCCAGTTTGTTTAGTTCTTGGTCAGCATAGGAATGGGAGTGAAAGAAAATCTTGCCTCAGTCTTCGTGCGTATAAGATCATTATGGTCCTGGTAGGTACGCCAGATATCTGGATCTAAGGTAACATTGTCTGTTAGCTGGAAACTGTAAATGTACTTCATCTGCTGCTGGGTTTATTGTACTGAATTGGATTCTCTGTTTTTTTGGCAAATGGTGTGAATTTTTCTCTTGTCCTATTGATTTCCGTAGCATCAAGTGGGGAGTTGTTCTGACTTTTGGCACTTTATTTGCAAAATCCCATTTTTATTAGATGTCCATCCTGACGAAGCCTTGAGCTCCGGACTAGAAGTAAGTTCTCTAAGAAAAAATACATAGTCAAATATCAGGTCCACTTGTCTCTACTTTCATACCAGGAATGTATCATTTGATTTCATTCATTTAAAAAATGTTTGGTAGACATCATCTGTACACTGGGATCTCTGATAACATGAAGGTTATAACTAGGGACAAGACGGGGTGGGGGGCTGTCTTCATGTTGCTTGCAGTCAGGTGTATATGAGGCTTTGACCTGAGCATTGATCTCCAGGAATATACAATCTCATTGGCATCTATACACAAACACTTAACAGTAAACAGTAAAAGCAGTGATTGATAAGGGAGAGATGACATAGTCTTAAGTGCTATGAGAGACTGACATAGACAAAGTTTATAGAAAGAGGTGGGCTGAGAGGAAGAGGAAAGGCTTTTCGGACAAATAGAACAATGTGAGCAAAGTTCAGAGTGTGCTTACGAGATAAGAGTGGTTTCACTAGGGCCAAATGTAGTCCATAGACCAGCACCAGCATCATTTGGGAAGTTGTTCTTAGGTAACATCAAGTTGGTTCTGACTCATAGTGACCTTATGTACAACCGAACAAAATACTGCTTGTTCTGCACCATCCTCACAATGTGTCTGAGCCTGTTTTTGTGTCAGTCCATCTCATTGATGGTCTTCCTCTTTTTCGCTGGTGCTGTTCTTACCAGGAATGTGTCCTTCTCCAGCGACTGGTCCTTTCTGATAACATGTCCAAAATATGTGAGATGAAGTCTCGCCATCCTCACTTCTAAGGAGCATTCTGGCTGTACTCCTTGGAAAACACATTTATTTATTCTGCTGGAAGTCTGGAATATTTAATATTATTCGCCAACACCATAATACATAAGCATCAATACTTCTTCAGTCTTCCTTATTCACTGTCCAGCTTTCACATGTGTATGAGGTGATTGAAAACCCTGTGGCTTGGGACAGGCACACCTTTGTCTTCAAAGTGACATCTTTGCTTTTGAATACTTCAAAGAGATCTTTTGCAGCATATTTCCCTAATGAAATACATAGTTTAATTTCTTGACTGGCGCCTCCATGGTCGTTGATTTTGGATCAAGTGAAATGAAACTTGACAACTTCAATCTTTTCTTCATTTATCATGATGTTGCTTATTGGTCCAGTTGTGAGGATTTTTGTTTTCTTTATGTTGAGTTATATTCTGTAGTAAAGGCTCGAGTCTTTGATCTTCATCAGTAAATGCTTCCAGTCCTCTTTACTTTCAGCAAGCAAGATTGTGTCATCTGCATATCACAGGTTGTTAATGAGACTTCCTCCAATCCTGATGCCATGTTCTTCATGTAGACCAGCTTCTCAGATTATTTGCTTAGGTATGCATTGAATAAATATGATGAGAGGATACAACCCGATGCACACTTTTCCTGATTTTAAATGACACCATATCCCCTTGTTCTGTCCTAATGACTGCCTCTTGGTCTATGTACAGGCTCTGCATTAGCACCATTAAGTGCTCTGGAGTTCCCATTCTTCTCAGTGTTATCCATAATTTGTTATGATCCATACTGTCAAATGCCTTTGCATAGTCAATAAAACACAGGTAGACATCTTTCTGATAGTCTCTCCTTTCAGCCAAGATCTATCTGATATCCCACGTTCCATGTCCTCTTCTGAATCTGGCTTGAATTTCTGGCAGTTCCCTATCAATGTACTGCTGCAACAGTTTTTGCTTTATTTTCAGCAAAATTTTACTTCTTCTTCTTAGGTGCTGTCGAGTCATTTCCGGCTCATAGCAATCCTATGCACAGCAGAATGAAACACTGCCTGGTCCTGTGCAAGTTCCATGATCCTTGCTATATTTGAACCTATCATCACAGCCACTGTGTCAATCCATCTCATTGAGGGCCTTCCCCTCCATCGACCGTCCACCGTACAAAGCATGACATCCTTCTCTAGGGCATAGTCCCTTCTGACAACGTGACCAATGTAGGTGAGACAAAGTCTGGCCATTCTTGCCTCCAAGGAGCATTCTGGCTGCACTTCCTCCAGGACAGATTTGTTAGATCCTTTAGCAGTGTATGGTACTCTCAGCATTCTTTGCCAGCACCACAACTCAAAAGCATCAACTTTTTCTTTGGTCTTCTTTATTCATTGTCCAGCTCTCACATCCATATGAGTTGACTGAAAATAGCATGGCTTGTGTCAGGCACACCTTAGTCCTCAAGGAGATATCTTTGCTCTTTAGCACTTGAAAGAGGTCCTTTGCAGCTGATTTGCCCACTGCTATATGTTTTCTAATGTTCTGACTGCTGCTTCATTGGTGACGATTATAGAACCAAGCAATGTGAAGTCTTTGACAACTTCAATCTTTTTCTATTTATCGTGATGCTGGTTATAGGTCCAGTTGTGAGGATTTTTGTTTTCTTTATATTGAGATGTAATTCATACTGCAGACTGTATTCTTTA